CTAATGTAACTAAGAGATACATTACAATCTGTAATTCAGGACATAAGTATTTGGAAATGTCATTTACCTAAAATCAGATTTTCACAGATTTCTAATCTCTAACAGAAATCGCACTCCCCAAAATTGGTAGCAATGAATCTAAGCTAACTCAAGATTTACCGAATGTCAAAATGTTTGCTGACAATAGCAATTCTTTTTCTCTCAAAACACCTCTCTGCTTTCTCCTATTCACTTGTCTAAGAGCTTCTTTATTCCTCTTCTTTGGAAGGTTTAACAACCATTATCTGTGTTGTACTCTCCCATGCCTTTCACAACATTTTGCTCTGCATTGTGAAGTCTCTTTTCTGTCTAGTAGTTAATTTTCTTTATACTGTGACCTTTATTTCTTTCCCTTTTCAGCCTACTGCACAAATCTATATTTCACATTCATAATTTTTCTTTTCCCATTGTGTGTTTTTTTCTCATTGCTTTCTCTAATTTTTCTGTCTTATTTCCAGACTTTTCCCTTTCCCCTGCTGCAGGTAGAACACATCTCTAAAATGGTGATTATTATTGACACTTTATTCACATCTGCCAACTGCTGCCTCTCTACTGGCAACTGAAATTAAGGCACCTAAACACAGGAGCTTTTTATACTGTCTGCCACTAATTTGTCACTGATATTTTGTTCTCATGGCTTCACATGCTCCCCCTCTGTCATTTTTTCCCCACAGATAGACTTTTGACAACGTGTCTGCACTGGCATTGAATCTCCACCTCTGTCTTCATATGATTATTTGATTTTACATCACAAAAGTATATATTGGTCTTTAAAAATGCTTGACTACTGCTCTCTGCTGTTGTCCATCAGCCCCTTCAAGTCCCCTCTCCCATGGCCTCTCTTTAGACTAACAGTCTAATTTAACATGCCACTTATAATGAAAATAAACCGCAAATATAACAAAAATGACAGAACATTAGAATTAACTAATTACTATTTTAGACCAGCACCAAAGAGTGGTCTAAGTTCTTGTAGTGCTGATCTGCTCTATCTTCTGATCTGTCATCTGTTGTGGTAGGAAAGTAAATCTAAAGCCAAAGAACAAAAACTGAAGTCTGGGATTCTGATGAAATGGGTGTGAGGAGATATTTCTCTGCTTCTGTTATGACTTACTTGCACTTTTCCATGTCTGACTGATATACAGATAAGAAAAATGGAAACTCCCCTCCAGATTAAAGCTGTGTGTGCTTGTGTGAGTAGCAAAGTTGAAACCCATTGCTAATCCTACTTAGAAATTCCATAAACTGCTCAGCTGCTGCAGCTGCACTTTGACAGTTACTGCTGTATTTTGCATCTGATGTGAGAAATATGGACCACAAGGGTAGTTTTATCTCCCTCCCCACAATTCCTTTAAACCCCCCTTTCAAGGCATCCCACTGGTTTATGTAAATTATATAGGTACTGGCTGGATTTTATTGGCATAGAAATTGTTTATTAATATTTAAGAAAGCTCTTTCAGAATAGATCCTAAATAAGAATAGTTCAGTTCCATTTCTTTGTTACTTAAAAGGGGAAAACTTGTATACCTGCGGATCAGTCACTGTGAGGGGAACAATTATGTTATAATTAACCTTTAGAGTTTAAAAGAACTTAATGATGGCCGGTGATGAACAGAGGGAGATGGGGTGATAACAAGGTTGAAGTTAATGAACTCTGTACAAAGGGATGCTTTAAAGTGCCCTAGGCAAACTGCAAAGCTTTTCTCATCTGCTAGAAAAAGAGATGCTTTGTTTTCACATAGATTTTCTTCAATACTATTCAATTTGGGAGCTCATCATTCTTAAGAAAAGAACACCTTTTTGTTGGGTGACATCATAATTTCTCTTCTTTAGGGATTTTTGAGATGAAAATCAAGATGTGCCATGTCAGAGCATCTATGTGTGTGTGTTGGAAGAACCTTTTCCTTATAGTGTGGCAGTGTAATCTACACAGTCAGTCCAGACTCTCTTTGGGACAGAATTTGTAGATCTCTGACACTTTAAAGTTACGTAAATTGCCTACTACAGTGTCTGGCAGAGCCATTTCAGATCCCTTGTTGAGTTGCTGCAGTGGATACCAAGAATTAATGTGGTCAGCGCAGTGGTCCTGAAGAGTTACCAAGAACCAGACCCCTGGCCACAGGGCTTTATGCAAGTTTGGGGAAGTCCAGCTTTTTTGCAAAAGAGGGTATTTATCGGTAAAACCAAGCTGAAGTTTTGGGATTCGTGTAGCAAGGCAAAGCACAGTAAACTTTCTATGAAAAGCCACCCTATTTTCTGTTTTCCCTAGCCAGCTCTAGGGGATGGTGGTGTGAAAATGGAGTGAGACATTGTAGGGGAAAAAGGGAGAGTGTGAGGGCTGACATAAAATATAAGAAGAGGTGCAAGGAAGGAATAAACCCACTGTGAATGATAAACAGGAAGGGAGGAGGTTTGATTGAAAGGGCAGTTAGAACAAGGTTGAGAAAATATAATCAAGATGTCTCTCAATTACAATCTCTCAATTTACAGAGATCTGTACTTGAACAAGCTATTTTTACAACAATGTCTGTGTGCTCAAATTCCTATCTATATCTTCCCAATATTTTTCCTGTGGAACTGCATTGTCTTGGTTTCATCTGGGATAGAGTTTATTTTCTTCTTAGCAGCTGGTGCAGTGCTGTGTTTTGGATTTAGTGTAAGAATAATAAAGGTAACGCAGCAGTGTTTGGGTTGTTGCTGGTAATGCTCAGCCCAAGTCCAGGACTTTTCAGTGTCTCATGCTCTGCCAGTGCACAAACAGCTGGGAGGGAGCATGGTCAGGACAAGTGATCCAAACTGGCCAAAGGGATATTCCATACCTCAGAAAGTTTGTGTATGAACTTTGGAGAGTTTTCTGTGAGGAGCTGGTTGTTACTCAGGGCTGGGCTGGTCATTGCTCAGTACATGATGAACAATTTTGTTGTGCATCACCTATTTCCCTCAGGTTTTGTTTCTCTCTCTCTTTTCCATTACAATCATTATTATAATTTTATTAATATACCTTACTTTTTTGAATTATTGGACTGTTTTTACTTCAATCCATGAGTTTTACTTTTTTTCCTTGATTCTCTACCCCATCCCACCAAGGAAGGGCAGGGGGAAGAGAACAGGATCTGTGTGGTCCTCACTTGCTGGCTGGGGTCAAACCATGAGGTGTATATTAAAGAAGGAAAAAGGAAGTGTCATCTCCAGCATCAGAGTGAAAAATAAAAACTTTTTCCTCTCATTTCTCCCACCTCTGCCAGTGGAAAATTAGCATGAGGTCTTTATCTGTTATTTTTCAATGCAATATTGGAAAACAATTGCCTTACCAATTGTGGCATATCAGCATAAATGTGGAACACTGAGAATTAGCTAGACCTCTTTGATACAGCAATTACTGTTTGTCATAGAACTCCTGCACTAGAATATAGAAAATTAAGCAGATCTGTTACGTGGCTTTTTTTCCCCCCAAAACTGCTGTAATGAAACATTGTAGTAGTGGCAACAAATCACAAATGGTAATTTGCACTCACTAGGCAGCCAATTAAAATTCTGTGTAAAAGCATTGGCAAGATAATATTTTCTGTCTAATATCATGGATTTTGCCTTAACTTCTCTTGTTCTGGGTGCTTTAAAGTGCCAATGCACATATCTTTCCAACATTTATTTGCCTGGTTGCCAATAGACTAACTTGGAGAATGGCCATGTTTTACATTCACTTACCAAATTTCTGCAGTATGTTGAGAAACACTGATTTTTATACTCTCTGATAGATAAAGCACTATTTGGGCTGATAAATATTCCACAAAAATGATTACAATATGCTTTAAAAACTATTAATTCTTCATCACAAAATTTTCACATTTTTAAATTTAGTTTAAAAATGCATACTAGAACTAGCATGGTTTTGCAGACCAAGGATATACAGACAAATATGAAAAAAAGGAAGTATTATCATTACCTTTCTACAACACATTTGGGATCAGTCTGGCCTTCAGTTTTATTGACTCTGCTTCAAAATTCATCAATGGGGAGATATCTTTGTTCTTTACCTCTTCAAAGTGCCACTCTCCTCAAGTCCATTTAGTTTGAACCCCTCTATAGAGTAAAATAGGCTTATTTTTCTTAATTAAATCTCTTGAGCAAATAATTGCATATTCTTATAAATGGAAAATTCCGTCTTGTTTTCAATCGTGTCAAAAAATATCCGAACATGTGTCAAGTTTTGTTACATGTTTCTTTTGAGACAAAGCACTGATGAGAGAACTGTCACTGGCACTCCAAGAGATGCTCACTAGAGAACAAATGCTGCTGCACTGGGCTTTGTCAAGCAGCAGCTTCATGTGTGGAATTCTCCAAGGAAGAAAAATCATTCCTACTTGAGCAATTTCTACACACAAACTGTAGTGTGAGTGTGCTGGTACCAAAGGGCTTTTCTGAAAAGTCTTTGGGAAGAGTTTTCTCCATGTGGTGCTGCTCAGGAGGAAAATTCTGTGGGGTAGCTGGTGCTGGAAATAATGAAACCAATTCATATTTTGTGCAGAAGCACACAATATAAATAAGTGTCAAGTTCTGGGGAGGAAAACTGTGTGGAGTGATCTCCCTGCAGGTGTGTGACAGGCCAAAGTGACTTGGGAAACCCTTGCAAAGATGCCTCCTCTCTCTGATTGTCACTTCATATAACTGGTGCTTCAAGCTTAGAGAACAAGAGCCTGACACAATCATGGGAGCATCATTTTGGAGTGCTTGGCTCAGAGAGGGGAAGGTCCTGTCTGCTCCCAGCTTAATGCACCTGTGGGAAGCCACAGGTTTTCCAGTGGTCCTGACAAGTTTTGAAACCACTGGGAAAAACAAAAATCCCCCTGAATTGCAAAGCTTAGCCAAGAGTTACTCTTTCTTGAGGCAGGCCCAGAAAAATGTGTCTCAGTTTATACTGTGTCCACACTGGTTTTTCACAGCTGTTTCTGTGTTTTCTTCAGCTACAGACTCTTAAGTCCAGCAAGAACTTCCCAGAAGAGGAGTCCAGATTTTCAGAAAAGCAGTGTTTGGAAAATAATGAGGCTTTGACTTTCCTAGGTATGCCTGACAGAGGTTTCAATCCATCTTTACCTTTTTTGTTCAGTAGGTTTCTGAGTTGGGAACTTTGGTCTTGAAAAATAAATCAGTCAGGAGCAGCAAATTGTTCTTCACTCCCTGCCTGTTCTGCGTATGTCTTCTCTGATATTGTGTCAAGCCTGTTTTATCATATAACAGTAACAAAAAAAAAATAATTGTGGCTTGATACTTGACTTAATCATAAAAGAAAAAATAGTAGGAATTATTTTTTTTTTCCTTAAAAGATGATCTAAACTTTCAGAGAATCTTTAAATGCTCAAGCAAAAAAAAAAAAAAAAACCAGCAACTGGAGAAACTGAAAACTGCATGTGGCTAAAGCTTAGTATTTAAAAAAAAAAAAATTAAAAAAAAATGCAGCAACTGGAGAAACTGAAAACTGCGTGTGGCTAAAGCTTAGTATTTCAAATGACAGTAGTACTGCTAAAGAAATGAGATTAGTGACTGAAATAAATAGCCTTAACCATGGCTTATTAGACCTGGCAGGGAAGGCAAGATTTAGGATTCCCTGACAATCACTGCAAGGAAATAATCTGATGGAAGTGCAAGGGCTGGTGGCTGTGGGTCTCACCCACTGCAGGAGCAGAATGAATACAGAATTTTAGTCTGTAGTTTGAGGGATGTTTATGTGCAGCAGTTTCACAAATCCTCTTCTTGCCTTAAACTTTCTCTTTGTGTCCTTGATCCCTTTTTTGAGCAGCATGTTGACGTTTTTTTGAAACACAATTGATTCCACTGGGCAGGAAAATACCAGATCTTTCTTCACCTCTGCATACCTGTTCTTCCATCTGTTAATTCTCTGAATGTCACTTCTGTCTTTGCCTCTGTTTGCTCTCTCCACCTTCATCATTCCTGACCTCCCTTGCTTAATCTTGTCCTCTCAGAGTGCCTAAAATCCCCTGGAGATGCTTCTCCTGGTCACAGGAGGTGCTCAGGAAGGCTGCCAAAGCAGAACAGAGCTGTTTCATTGAAGGGCTTTTTTAAGCTTCCTTTGAAACAAGCTGTGAGGGGGAGGTAAATGTCTGCAGGTCACCAGGATCTAATTGTTTCCCCAAGTCCTGTGGGCTGGCAGGGGAGTGACACTGCCACTTGTCAGCTCTTGCACTTCCTTGTGAGCCCCATCTGATGTTTCTTGTTTTGCTTTTCATTTCCTCCTGTAGTAGTGATTACATGATTATTTAATCATTTGTTGTACTGCATTTCAAGAAAGCCACTGCTACCCTTTCCATATGTATTTAGGAGAATGGAATTATAATCCTAAAATTTTTAATACCAAACCTCAAATATAGACCAAATTGTTATGTTCTCTACTGTGAGTTTTCATCTACTTGTGATATAGGCTAGAGTAAACTTTTAAAAAATAATTTCATAAAGGATAGGGAGTATGGAGAGAAAAGAGATGTCTACTTTTATGAGAAGCTGCTACTGAACCCCTGAAATAACTGTGGTAATGTTCTGTAACCTTTTCTAACCCTGATCTGGAAGCATTATGTTAAACCAGAACCTCTGTGACTTTTATCCTTGAATTCTTTACAACAGGAATCTTACAGGTGTAGGGACACCTGTGTGCGGGTGTAATTCCTTATTAATTTTCCACTTTATCTGCCAGCCTGAGTTTAGGGCAGTAATTTTGGAGGTTCTGCAGGCACAATGCTGCCCACAGAATCTATTTCCTCTGTATCATCTCAGGAGATGAGGTATTGTCTGAAGAAAAATAGTGTTCAGAAACTTCAAGGTGCAGAAGTGTCATTTACACAGTGTGACTTAGAGGATGGCACAGAGGGCACTTCACTGATCAAGGAGAAACACCAGCAGGTCCCCACTAGTGCTCTTCAAGTAAAAGGAAGCAAAGAAAAGGTCATACAAAAGGAAGTTAAGAAATGGGGGAAAAAATGTGCATCAGACAGGAGCTGTAATGGACAGAAGGCTCAAGCAGGCGATAGCAAGGCATTGTTAAAAAAATTGAATAAACTGACCATAAGTACACCAGCTAACTAATCTGAGATCAACAGATCCAGATGTGTTCCAATTGTTTATTAAGCTGTAGTTTTCCTTGTGCTAAATTTTTAAAAGTGAAATGATTGCTCAAAACCCTGAATGATAGTTGAGAAAAAAATGGAAGAGTTGGGATCACTTCCACAGGTAATGGCACCTGGTGAAAAATGAAGACAAAGTGTCAGGGGAAAAAAATGGATGAAAGGAAGATTGCAAATTTTAAAGCTCCATTTCTAGTCTGTCACTGTCAGGTGTAATAAAAACAGGTAAACACCTGCATGAACCTTTCAATACCTGGCAGACTCAGGGAATGGCTACTAAATCTGTGACAGGGGCTGTTCCACCTTAAAACTGGGTAAATTTTGACTCCTGTTCCATGATTATTCTATTAAACAGACATTGAAATAGCTTCTTTAGCTGATAGTTCAGAAATGCTTTCTTCTTGCAATGAGAAATGCAGATTAAATGTTTTCTGGTACAGTATGGGAGTGTTCAGGCAGGGCCTGAAGTGATTGTGATGCTTCTCAAATCCTTTGCAGGTTGCCACACATGGCACATTCAGCAGCTCTGTCCTGCTTCCAGGTGAGACAAATCCCAGATTTTCATTCTCCTTTCCCACTCCTGATTGCAGCTGCTTTGGAGAGGTACCCATGACTTAATCTGGCCAGACTCACAGTTTTGACAGCTGGGAGATCAGACAAGGAAGGGACAATGCCAGGCACTATCCCTGCCTGACCCTGTCAGTGTCACCTTTATGGGTAATAAAGGTGAATTCCAGCTTGGGTCAAAGTTTGAAAACTCTGGCTGTCTAAAAGACTTTTTTTTTTTTTCTCCAAGTCATGCCAACCTTTGTTTCCATGGCAATAGGAATTAAAATCTATTGGCAGCTTGTAGGCAGGCAGCAGATGACAGCTCTCAGTACCAGATTTCAGCAGCTGTCTTTCAAATAACAGTCCTAAGAACCCACTGCAATAACAAGTATGAAGATTTTACTACAATATTGGCTCCTCCTCTATGTCTTAAAAACAGAGAGAAAATGGATAAAATTATTACTTAGAAGAGTGTTTATGCCTTTCTATTGTCAGCTGCTTACTTGTGCTTTTTGTCTTCAGCCCTGCAGTGTGGGTAGGGGTAATTGCATACTTTCTATGCAATACATACATGATAGTGCAATTTTTGGTAATCAAAGAAGCTATTTGGTACCTCTAAAAGAGGGGAAGTTTAGATAAAGGAACTTGCAGAGGCTAAAACATTCCAGGATGTAGAAGAGAAGAATCTCAAAAAACTTTGGTGAGGAATTTAGGATTTCCATCTAATGTAAAGGAAGATTTCAAGAAAAAAACTATGAAAAGAGAAGAGGTGACTTGTGGATTCTCTGAAGAGCTTCCCAGGAAGGAACAGAGCAGTCAAACTGTGCTAAAGAACAGGTTTTCACTCTGTTTGTAAGAGTGTTCCAGGAAAACTGAGTCAACACCTCTTTGCATATTTAATCACTTTTCCTTTACATGTAGCTTGCATGTTTTGCATATAATTTTGCTGGTGGCATTCGCCTTTTGAAAAGCGAAAACAAATTTCAGTATTTAATCAATTTCAGTGATGGCAGTATTTCACAAGCCTCGTGGAAGCCCCCCATGCTCACAGAGAAATTTCTAAGCTGTTTTCTTTCTCATCATTCTGTCATGAATGTCTCCAAAAAGGTCAGTCCATTAAATCACTTCTCATAAGAGGCCTTAAAAGCTTTGAATTGCTAATCCTAAACTCTTCTCCTCATCTCCAGTACTAAAAAAATCATAGGTGATGCAGTTCCTGATAAATACAGACCAAAGTGCAGTGACTTGAGGTGGGATATTCAAGTTCACTGACTTCCCTCTCTGCTTGAATAACTAGAAATTAATTCTGCTATGAATGATTATATATGTTTTGGAGAAAACAACACAATGAAAGATTTCTCAGTAAGGAGTAAAAAGGAAAAAAAAAGGGTGGCTGTCACTGGTTAGGCAGTGCATTAAGATATTTAATTTTCTCTGGGTGACACTATTTTCTGTGGAAGCCCAATCTTCTTGGTCAGTATGAGGATTTCATATGTAATTACATGATGACATGCTGCTTCTCTTGGAAAGAAGAGGTTTCTATGAGATTCTAGCTCTTACTTTATCTGTTTCTGTATACTGCATCTAATATCTTAATCCCAAAACACCCAAGATTAATAGAGGAAGTAAATTTTCGTCAGTGCTTCAGCAGAGGGAAGATAAAGATCCCATTTCTGGGTGGAAAAGTGTATATTCCAAAGGCCAGAATAAAAGCAATTAACGAATTGTTTACTAATGAGACCCTTCCCTTCCTTTGCAGTTCCCCTATTGCATCAGTCTTTGCTAGAACATTCCATATACTAAGCTAAATTTTGGCCATTATGGGGCTAAAATAGGGAACTGGCACAATCCTCAAGAGTTTGGGTTTCTGACAAGAGACTTTAAGTGTTGGACCACTGTTTTATCCCCAAAAAATTTTTGCCGGTATCTTTCATGGCAGATGATATATTTCGTTTTCTGCATCTCTAGGAACTTAGCACAGAAACACATGTGGTTCATTGTAAGTTCATGAATTCCTGACACTTTCACATAAGTGCACAAAAACCTGTTCTTTGAACAGCCCAACAATTGAAAACCCCCTTGATTCACAGTAATGAGAAGTGAAAATCTGAAATAGTTCTAATTGAGTATTGAAAGGTAGCATTAAGCAAAGCAAACACACCACTGCTGAGCCTGTAGGGATGGTGCTGGGAAACTGTTTTTAAAGCTGGAATATGTAACAAAAATATAACTTCTGAGGCCTGTGTTAAAGGAAATTGATAGATGTTCTGATCTGCTCCTAGTAATGTGAGGGGGAGTATAGATAGTGAAGTGAATAATTGTGATGTGCTAAACTTGTGCTAATTTTTTAATGTCCAATATGCCTGATTAGAGCATCAGTGGGGTTTCTGTGAAAAGGAAATGAAGATAAGTGAAAAAGCCACTTTGGAATTATGAAGCTTGTTGAAACCACACGAATATTCACTCATCAGCCATCAGTCATTTGTGCTGAAGTTGTGGTTGCAACTTACTAAAGAATAGAAGTTTCTGTACCCTCCTCAACTCTATTTCTTCTTGTATCCAGATTCAACCTTTTCCCCTGAATCATGATTCCTTATTTACAGATGTCATACTTTTTTTTTCTGCTTTTGAGTAATGAGGTACTAAAGTGATCTCTGTGTCTGAGAGGCCAAATCTCAAAATATTTGTGTAAAAGGATATCTGAAATCCTCATCTCTTTGGGCATGGAGGAGTTCCTCAGAGTGACTTATGTGCTGCACTGTAAATTCCCTGTGTCCCTGTAATGTAAAAAGCAGGAGAGATAACACTTCATGGACTCAGAGGCGGACATATAAGGGAAAGTTTTCCTAAGAATCCAAATTTTTATGTTCCTCTGTTCCAAATTTTTATATTCCTCTGTGCTGAAATACTTTGTATCCAACCAATCTGCCAAAGCAGAAAAACTCTCAACTTGACTTTCCTCTCTTTATATTGAGCATGTCTAGAATAGAAGATAGCTCATTGGCAGGAAGTAACTAAAATCTTTAATATGCTGAAGATCTTTACTGACAAGATGGTGGTAATATGTACCAAGCAATGTATTAATAAAATATCTAATTTTATACTAATATTGAACTCTGTTTAACTGATTTATCACATTTAGGGCATTTAAGATCTTCTCCATTTTTTGCTATTGGTTTGGCTTTGCTTTCTTTGGGTTTTTTTTTGAGTTTGTAATGAGAGTTCATCTATTAATATTTTGGGGAAAAAATGGAACATATTGAGAGAATGCTGCAAGGCTGCAGTGTAAATAAAATTTAAACCTTCTTAGCAGTAAAACTAAAAGCTGGAAGATAAAGCAGTGTGAGAAAACCAAAGGCACAAGTCTGGGTCTGTTGGCATTAATTTCCACAGGCCAGCCAGTTAGTTGACATGTGAGAGTTTATATCAGAACAGCTCAGCCCCAGAGTTCAGTTATTTTATTGCTTCTGTAATAATCTGAATTGTAATTTTCTGCTGAGATTGAGTTAAGTTTTCAGCATTTAATGGCCCTTAGAATCAAATCACAACATAGGAAAATGTTTGCCCACCTAGGCATCTCTCCTTATGTATATAAATCTTTATTCTCTTTTTCCTCCTTAGGACGTTCTAACATCTAAAGAAATAAAAAATTGAAAGCTACATAAAATTATGTGAAACAATATTGTGCATCAAGGCTTTTAGGAAACTAAATATATATAAATACATATTTAAAGCATAAATCTAACTTTATTTCTCTGATGCTGTTGGAACAGAGAAAAAATCTGAAGCCTATCAAAACTCAAATGTGAAAACCCCACTGAGTAGCAGGCATCAAGAAACTAGGTTTATTTCTTTTCTTGTTACACAAAATTTACAGAATTGGAACAGAGTATGCCATTGAGATGACATAGATATAATATTCAGAGATATTCTAGTGAGGTAGTGCAAGGATGCAGAATACACTAATTTCAGGTGAATAAAGGGATCCTGTTTATTACTCCAATCCCTATTTTCCCTAATAAAAACACTAATTCCTACAAAAATCTTTTTTTCTTTTCTGGTATCCTTCAGAGTGATGGTATACAATGATTCCTACAAAAATCCTTTTTTTTTTTTCTTCTGGTGTCCTTCAGAGTGATCGTATTGCAGGGTTTCTATGAATGCATGAAAGAAATTCTTTCTAACTATGACGGAAATATTTTTGACACAAAAATACCAATTTCTGATAAAACAGGTACTTTAATGGTAGGGTTTCATGAAATAAGGAAAACAGATCTTAAACCTGTAATTGAACTAAATGTACTCTAACTTCTATATCTCCTGGAAGACACAAGGATTAAAAAGCACAGTTCTATTCTGAATTCCTCACAATTGCAGGAGTTCTGCATCATTACAGTGAGAGCATTTTCATTACTCTGCTCACAAGGTATTATTATGAAACAAAGTAGAGATATTTCAGGTTATTGGTATAAGCAAGGTCCTGAAAATTGTAACAAGGGAAAAAAGCTGATAATTTACTTCTGGAATCTCCAGTATGAATTCAGTCCATGAAGGGGCTAAGAAATGTCTATTTACTAGTCAGTTTATTTTGATATCTTTTTTCCCAATGAAATTTTCTTCTAAAATGCTTCAAAATGAAACAGATGTGAATTTCTACTGAACATAGTCTTTAGTTCCTTTGTTTTTATGAGTTCTGGACTTTTATTCATGGGTTTTAAACGAAAATCTTAACATCTGATGAATTAAAAAACTTTTCCCCCTCTATGTGATAAAGAGCTTCATTCACTGCTGGCTCTAGAGGCTGTTAGGAACCACAGGAACACTCTCAAAGGAAATATTTTATTAATTATTTAACAGAGACCATTAACTAGCTGTAAAAATCTAAGTGCACCAACAGATTTAGGACCTCGAGATTATTATGAAGTCCTAGCATGTGTAACTGCATAAAGAAAATAAAATAGATAAATAAGGTGAATTTGGGCAAAAATAAAGTTCCAATAAATTTTCAT